CCACAATGATGATTCAGAACCAAAAGACCCCAAGTAAAAACATTTTGGAGAGTGAACCCATGTTCAAGTTCACTGATGAACACTAAAAGGCAACCAAGTCAGTCCGGTATGGACCTTGGATGAATAAAAAATGTGGAATCCCAATTCATTTCTTAATGCAATTCCCACTTTTAAAAAGATAATACCAACAAGGACCAATTGATCCATGAGATAGACTTAAGTGACACTGGTTTGAAGAGAGTCTCCAAAGGTTGCAAGAAAGAGGATTAGACAGTAAAATGTGCAAAGTTCTCCTGAGCCAGCTGGTCAATCTGGATTGATAGACCAAACTTCTGACCAGAGGTCAACTCCTGTCCCAAAGACCCTTTTAAATTGAGGAGTACAGATCTGAAACTTCATAGATGGGGTCCAGGTGCCATCCCTTGACCAAGGGGGTCCAATGATAATGGACATTGTCCAATGTTCCTATCTCACCTCAAAAAATGGAACAAAATTCTCATAAGATGGAGAGCCATTCTGTCAGGACAAAGTTAGCTCAATCTTTCTCCCAGACATTTTAGTTTTTTAAGCATAGGAAATGGTGAGATAGGGAAGAGAACTGAGATGTGAAAAACAATGGCCTTCCACCTTCTGTATGAAGCAATATTTCCAGGGCAAACTACACTGCTAGATTCTGCTGAATGTACAAATTTATATGGATTGCTACATCCATATCATAGACTCCTACACAGCCCCTGGTTATGTCAAGATGAAGGATGTGGTTACAAGGCCAATACCATCAAACCCTGAGAAGGCACTGCTCTGATGCAGTAATTCATTTCTGCGTAATCTGCATATTTCATCAATATTATCAGAGCAATATGAGATCCACCTTGAGGAAAGTGACTGACTGCTATAAAAATGGAGTAAGATGACCTTTCTAGTAATGAGAATCAAACAATCAAGGCAAACTGCAAAGCAAAGGATAGGTTTTCCTGTTTAAATTGCACGAAGTTCCATCTATAAGGCATGACAAGAATAAGGGGAAAGAGTTGATTCAAAGATTTGACACCTACTTTTGGAGAAAATTATATCCATTATACCAGAAGAGCTTTGAGTAAGACAGCAGGTGACAGAGCAGAAATCCCTGACTACTGGTTTGGTTCTCCACCAGTATTAGCTGCTTCGTATGCTGTTACAGGAATTACTCTCCGATAGTCTCTTTTCTACTGGGCAGTGCTCACTTTGCACTGGGAAATATTCCCATAGGAGAGAACTATGTAATTGATCACACCCATGTGGTTCTTGCATGCTCACATTGACACCTTCCCAGTATATTGGAAGATGCTTCCCACAAAGCCTGTCCATTTTGGGGCAAGGTTGGTGCCAATCATAGGAACTGTAATTTAACACTTCTGGAGGTGACCAGGGATGCAAAAGTGCCAATAACTCTGGCCCATCATGGAGTACGTTCACAAGTATGAACTGAAAGGAACGCTATTATTGATTTTACAGTCATAGATAGATGCTAATGTGCAACGGCCGATTCTGCTCTATTCTGTGTTTTAGTGAGAATGTTATTTTCTTAAGATGACTTTCCGTATAGCCTTTTCCAAAGTGTTATCCTCCAGATATGTTAGACTATAACTCTCATAATTTCCAACTGGGATTGCCAATGATCTTGCTTGTTGGGAATTATGGGAGATATTACCTAAAAACCTAGGTGATATTAAACGGGGACACTGCTCTACAGAATGCATATAATGAATGAGCAGAACCTGTACCAAAGGTGTTACTGCTATTTACAAGTGGTGAAGATCAAGGTTTATGGTTACACTCATTCTACTTGTCCAGTCCCTCTTCAGCTGAAAGCTAGCATGCCCCCAACTGATTGCAATGCAATAATAAGTGTACATCAGTGAAGATGCCTTCCTATCATGGATTACATATGTTGGAAGGCTCTAATGCTGGCTTCTGATGGCCCAATGCTTTGGGATATTCTTTCTCAACTAGCTGCCTTCCAGATGTGCTATGCTAATGGTCATGTTGGCTAGGAATTCTGGGAGTTACAATCCAGCTCATCTGAAAGACAGTTAGTTGGGGGAGGGTGCCTTAGAAGTAAGGAATCATCTGCCAGGCAAAAGATTATCAGTAGTGAGCTGAGAGGAGTCCTTTGCTGATCTTAAAATGTTGTGTCCAAAGGCTGGGTTTATAAGCAATCTTGATATATCTCTGTGCCAATGACACTATATCTATAATTGTGGAAAGCCATTACAAGGCAGTGAATGTGACTTCGAAAGAGCAATACATCTCTTTGTTTTGCTTCGAGGGACAACTGGCGCTCTTGTTAGAAAGCATTCTCGACTTGCTCTGCCACACCTCCTTCACTGCACTGTCATGATTAGCTAAGGAAGATCAAATGCAGAATTGCTCGTCTGCCAGCCCTTGGACTTTGGAGGCCATGGAGACTGACTATTATGGCAAGTCCAGAAACAAGGGGAAACTCTTATCAATTTAGTCTCTTTTATAGGGAAGGGATGCTTGTTTAAGCAGGGTCCTGGTGGTAACCAAGTAACTATGGGTTAATAGTTCTCTATATTCAATTATTGGCAGAAAAAACAAATGCTGATTGGTAGAGAGTTCTCTAAACTCTGTACTCAAGAAAACCATGCTCGGAGTGTCCTGATAACCAAGTAGATCTACCTGTAGTGAAAACAGCCCAGATCAATCTCAGATTTTTTGTTTAAACTGGTTGGGAGGCAGAAGCTGGTCAACTGAAAACGGTCGAGTAACTCCACTAAATGTATGCTGTCACTCTCTCCTCCTCCCTAAATCTCAAATACATTACAGCTTTTACTTCTGCAATTTTGAATCTACCAGGGATCCAGCTGTGACTAGCACCTCAATGCAAGATTTTATACCAACTCAGTGAGGAAATAAAACAACTCGTTTATTTCATTATACCGATGCAGCAACCACATACATACGTAAGATATTTCTTTTGCAGAAGAATAATGCATAGGATTTGGTAATAGAACTCAAACTCTGTGTTTTGCAGGAACAATAACTCAAAGGATTTGGTAATATTTCCCAGCCTTGTGATTGAAAAACTAAACTAAATATCAGTGTGATACTGAATGTCTCAGAAAGTATTTCTGCCCTTTATCCAGCCATAAACTAAGAAAAGCAGATATCATAGGCTCAGTGGCAAATGGAAGCTAAACAACATTTTGTGGAGAAATAAAATAATAATAATAATAATAATAATAATAATAATAATAATAATAATAATTTCCTATCTGAAAAAATTAAGGATCTGAAATTTGCCAAAAATGTGGAATGCATTTGAACCCTTGATTGCAGGGACATACAGTTTAATGCCTGTGAGAGCACCAGTGCCTCTGAAGATCTCTCTGGGTACCAACAGGCTCTCTGCCTGCCTGGATTTTTAAAAAAGATTCTTATACATTTATAGGAATTTATAAATAGGAAGCAGCCATGCCTGAAAGCAAAGCATCATCTTCTAGCATTTTATTTGCAAGAATATATAATTTGGGCTTACCATTGGAATAGCAGAGAGAGCCAGTTGGGTGTAGTTGTTAAGGCACCAGGCTAGAAACCAGGAGACCAGGAGTTCTAGTCCTGCCTTAGGCACAAAGCTGGCTGGGGGACCTTGGCCTGGTCACTCTCTCTCAGCCCTAGGAAGAAGAAAGCGAGGGCCAACCACTTCTGAAATCTTGCCAAGAAAACTGCAGGGACCTGTCCAGGCAGTCTCCAGGAGTCAACAGTGACTTGAAGGTACACACACACACACACACACACACACAGACACAAGAGTAGTAGAGAGCTTCTGAGAAGAGTTGGTTTACCTTCTGGTCAATGGGTGTTTTGCAAATGGCTTTTCCTGCCAGATCATTTTGGAAATAAACATCTTCCATAGAATGTCAAAGCAGTTGTCTATCCCTGGCAGAGAATGCAGAAAGTATCTGCTCTAAGAGGATATAAGGTTGCTTTGCAGGCTTCAAGCAAGCCAAAACTGAGACTATATAAGATCCATAAATATGTGCTTTTCCCATTTCTAGTGCAAAAAAGTTGCAATTCAAGAGTTATTCCAACACCAAGAGCCTTCTCGGATCTTTCTTGATATAGTCACCCAGAATCACATGAGGAAATGCAACTCACACACATTCTCCGCATGATTTATTCAATATCTGAAAACTGGTTGGAAGCTCATTCAGGCTTTTTTTTTGTTTGTTTTGGAAAATCAGCAGAATCAAAAGTGAACGTTTTCTGCAGACTGAATTTTTTCACTCTCTTGGGGAAGGACTACAATCAACAAGCCACCATGTACATAGAAAACCAGCCTCTATAAATGAAGATCATAAACTAGGGCTGCAAAAATCCAGATGACCACTAAATGGCAGCAAAGAAATATACTTA